GGGGTTTTCGCATCCTGACCCCTTATTGGGACCCTTATCAAAATGCAACATTGCCTAAGCCACACAGGACCTCAAGACATTTCTAACACACCCAAGAACTCTCCCCCAACTCCTTGGGATTTCTGAGAAAAAGTCAACTTAAGTAGGTCTCTGGTTATGGTTTATAGTTTTCATCATCATCCAGTGTCTTCTTCGATCCGAAGGTTGACAAGTGTGCGCCACAAACTTCTATTCTTCGCTTTTCTCTTGGCACTCCCGAGATTTTCCGTTTTAGTCCATGTTGTTATGTCCTTTCCCCAAGTTCTTCTAGGTCTTCCTCTGCCCCTAGTTCCTTCGATGGTACCTTCAATAACTAGACTAGCCAGCGCTCCACTAGATCCTCTCATTATGTGCCCTGCAAACGTGGCCTTCCTTTGACAACCTTGTTGCCAACTTCATCTGGCAGCCAATCCGTTGTTCAACCATTTCATTTGTTACATGATCTTTCCAGCTAATTCTCAAAATTCTCCTATAGCACCAGTTTTCAAAAGCTCTTATTTTTCTGATGACTTCTTTTCCATATGTCCAACTATCAGAGCCATAGCTGACTATCGAAAAGATGCAGGTTTCTAGAATCCTCTTTTTCAATTTAATGTTGAGGTCTTTGCGTATAATAAGTTCTTTCAGCTCCCAGAATTCAGTTTTGGCTCTAGCAATTCTTCTTTTTACTACCTCTAAGCATCTTCCATCTGCTATTATCCACTGCCCTAAGTATTTGTATTCTTCTACTTCCTCGAGTCTAGTTCCTTCTGGCTTGATATTAACCGCTGCATGATCTTCACTACATTTTCTTATAATCATCACTTTTGTTTTCTTTGCATTCAGAGACATACCATAATTAGCACAAGTATCACAAAATTTATTAATCATACCTTGTAATTCATATTCACTTGCTGCTAATAGGACAGTGTCATCTGCATATCGGATGTTAGGTATGTTGATTCCATTAATTTTAATGCCTTTGGTTGTTTCTAATGCCTCTTGTATTAGGGATTCACTATAAAGGTTAAAGAGTATAGGTGACAGTATGCATCCCTGTCTTATGCCTCTTTTGATTTTAATTTTTTCTGTATCACCACTTGTTGTTGTTACCACTGCTTTTTGGTTCCATTATAGGTTTGCAATTATTCTTCTATCTTGATCCGAAATGTTTGCTTTTTTCATAATTGTTATCAGTTTAACATGATTAATTCTGTCAAAAGCTTTAGTGTAATCTATGAAACAAAGAACTATTTTTTTCTGCTTTTCTATCATCCTTTCATTAATTGTTCTTAAATTGAAAAGTCCATCTCTTGTTCCTCTTCTACTTCTAAACCCTAACTGGCTTTCACTAATGCTGCCTTCAACTATGGGTGTGATTCTATTTTTAATTATATGAAGAAGTATTTTTGAAGCATGACTGATTAGGCTAATTGTTCGAAAGTCACCACAATTTTTGGCTTTATTAACTTTAGGTATAGATATGAAAATACTTTGCACAAAATCTTCAGGGAGAAAACCAGTCTCATAAATTTCCTTAATGACTTTGAGCATAACATTTCTTCCTTGAGTGTCCAGGTTTTGGTAAAATTCTGCTGGAATATTATCAAACCCTTCTGCCTTATTTTTGGGTAGGTTCTTAATTGTATCTTGTAGTTCTTCTTCAGTAATGTATTTCTTTAACTTTTTGGTATTTTGGTGACACTCGGTGTTTTCAGGTCTATCATCATAATAAAGTCCTTCTCCTATGTATTCTTCCCATCTTTTATTTATTTGTTCATCTTCATTCAACAGCTGTTCATTTTTATCTTGAATTCCTAAGTTGATCTTAGGTTTCCTTGGTTTGAATTCCTTAATTTTCTTATAGACATGTGGACTATGAATTGCATCTAAGTCTTCCAGTTCTTTGCATTTTTTCTTGTAATATTCCTCTTTCGCTTTCCTACATTCCTTCTTTATTTCCCTATTCATTACTGTTAGTTCATCTTTTTTTCCCTGGTTTTTCATCTCTTTTCTTTTTGACATCATGTTTAAGATTTCATAAGTCATCCATTGTTGTTTTCTGTCTACTACTTTTGTACCAATTATGTTTTCAGCAACTTCAGTAATACATTCTTTCATTCACTTCCAGGTCTGATTTACATTTTGGCAGTTTTCTTCTAAAATGTTCTTCGCTTTATCTTCCATTTTCTCAGCATATTCCATTCTTACACTTTCTTGCTTTAGAGCATCCACATTCCATCTTTTGACATCTGAATTTTTCTTCTTGATATTCTTAAGTCTGATATTGAGGTTTACTATAACTGGGTTATGATCTGAACCGCAGTACGCACCAGGTCTACTTCTACTATTTCTTATGCGGTTTCTAAATCTGGCACTGACTAGGATGTAATCAATTTGATTCTTAGTTTGTCCATCTGGTGATGTCCAAGTGTGTCTAGCTTTTTCCTTCTGTTGGAACCATGTGTTTGCCACTACTAACTTAGTCCTTCTGCAAAATTCAACAATTCGCTCTCCATTATCAGTTCTTGCATCACCAAGTCCAAACTGGCCACAAATATTATCCTCTTTTCTATTACTTACTCTTCCATTGAAATCCCCTAGAACCAAGTGTCAGTAAATTTCTTATTCTCTGAAATGATGTTATTGAGCTCTTCATAAAATGTTTCCTACTCATCATCGCTGTCATCATCATTAGGTGCATAAATCTGGATAACAAGTATATAATTTCTGTTTCCTTTCAATTTCAAGGCCATTATTCTTTCACTGTAAGTATTATAATACAAAATCTTGCTAGTAACTGTTTCTTTCAGTATAAATGCCACACCTCTCCTGCTTCTATCTCATCCAGAAAATATCACTATATTTGTTATCTGATGTTAAGATGCTTGTATCAAATTCACCTGCTTCTTTCCAGAATGTCTCTGCCATGCCAGGATATCCACATTTAGTTCTTCCATCTCCTGTATTACATTTGTCAATTTAACAGGTTGATTTAGTCCTCTTACATTCCAAGTAGCAATGTTGATGTTGAAACAGTAGCATGATGACGATGAGGGTCTGTCTGCTTTACCACAGTCCCCCCACCGGGCTGGACTGATATCACCAAAGGTTCCAACACCCCGTTTGCCAAGGTCTGAATCAGAAGTTTGTTGCATTGTCATAGTTTTCCTCGGGGGCTAATAGGTGTGGCAGGCCCCTAGAACTACCAACACCCAGCAATTCCCGCTAACTGGGACTGTTCTGCTAACCGTTGTCACCACAGTGATCATCCGCTTAACAGAGTTGGATAAAACAGCTGTTGATCCAAAGATTCATCCGCCTGTTCTCCTTCATGCCCTTGCTGACCAGACAGGATCTGTAACCCTAGAGAGGGAGGCTTTCAGTTATTCTACCTTGCCCAAGGATAGACTGGAAGCTAGTGGTGGGAAGGGACACTTCACTATCCCATTCATGCAAAAGCATGAAATTTGTTAATATATAGCCCTGTGGCCAGCCCCCTTATTTTTGGTTCAGATATATGGGGATTGATTGTGTGTGTTTGTTTTTCGAGGCAGGCGCACTGGACAGGGCCCGAATACCAGGATTTGTTTGACCAACTGCTGGGCAAAATTAGTTTTGAATGACAATAGTTAATCAATGACTAAGTGAGCAGTACATAAGAACTAATAAAATAGAATGTATGCAAATAGAATTTTAGACTAAGTCTTTACCTTAGACAAGCAGGCCTCAAATTCTTACTTTAAGGGGCTGTCGCACTCTAGAATGAAGTTTGTTAAGTATGCTTAGATTAGAATCAGCCAAGTAGTTGTTACGGAATGACAAAAAAAATATCAGGCTTTGAAGTTGAGGAAACTTCCCTCCCCCCCCTTTTTTTAATCTGATCTCTGTGTCAATCTTGATGCATTCTATGGCATTTGCATGGTATTCTGAAGTGTAGCTGGTACCTGGTCCCCCCCTTTTGCATGGTACTAATGGCAATAACTGAAGATGATTATAGAAGTACCACGTGTCATCACAGTACAGTACCTCATAAACAAATGCTGCAGCTGTGATTGAGATGTATTTCTCATCATATTATGTTTATTAGTTCCAGGAATAACATCTATCATTAGTAGTGTCCTCTTAGTGTGTGATGAGGGCGCATCAGGGGTACGTTTATGGAATGGTAGTGTGGAGGCAGCAGATGAGCTGCCTCTCCCTCTGCCTCTCTCATGGTGAGTGCCCTCCTTGTCTCTTAGTTTTGGCTATCTGCTGATTCAGGAAGCAGAATTGCCAGCTAGCTACCACAGAATACCAAAAGAAGTAACTGAATTTGAAAAGATGATACACAATTACCGCGACCATGGAGATTATTATATATTGGTCAGGGGCCATACAGTGAAAAAGATTGGAAAACTGATCATTATAGTTAGTAAAATTTTCAGAGATCTGTGTTTGCTGCAACTAAACCAATGAAAATATCTTGTCCAAAGTAAACTGCACTCATTACTCCCAATGTTCTCTACAATTACGTACGTATACAAACACAAAACATAGAGCTCGTTCATACCTTTTGTATGTACTATAGACACCAACACCCTGGAATCAGGAAGGTGGTCGAGGTACAAGATGTGAGAGGTGAAGAGGAACAATTTGAAGAGGCAGAATTCATCCTGTCGAGCCCTGTCATCCTCAGTTCCATAAGGATGACCAACACAATTACTTATAACCTTATCAGCTTCCTCATCTGTAATGGTAAAAGAAGTCTTCAACATATAAGCTATGTTGCAAAAAAATAAATAAATAAATAAAAAATAAATAAAAAAAAAAGGCTTTTATAAATAAAGTTTTACAAGGCAAACTTGAAAATTTTTATCTCTGCATCATGAACAAGAATCTCTTTAATGTGTGTAAAACCACTTTTATCTACAATAGTTTTGCGACGACACTAGTTTAAAAAGAATATGAGATCATTTGTTGCTAAACCAGGAGAGTTCTAT